TGCTCAAGGAGCCGTGTTCCCATGGAAACGGGGGACCGCTGTTGCCGCGGAGAAGTGAGGCGCGGACATATTTTCCGCTCGCGCAGCCCTTTCACACTCGGTGAAAATTTCCACGTGCCGAAGTTTTTTTTTGCGGCGCACGAGCCGCTACGCGCGCCACACCTGTGCGGGCGCTCGCCCGCCTCGCACGTGATTTCTGCCCCGAACATCCCGCCGTCTTCGCACGTGCAGGCGCCCGTTCGATTTTCGTTCCGGCGAGCGGCGACAGCTTTTGGCACAAGCGGTTGCTGTGAATCGGGGTTCGTTGAGCGCAGGCCGCGACAACGGGCAGAACGGGTCCGGCGTACACAGTGCCACTGTCGATGAGCACGGTTGACTACCGTACGGTGCGAATTAAGTTCAGCATACATCATCGTCGTCGTCGTCGTCGTCAGCAGCTCCAGCAACAGCAGTGCAGTCAGTGCCATTGCCATCATGATCGTTAACAGCAGTCCAGAGATCAGGATTAAAAGCATTCCCAATGTCAGTGGCTGGACACTAGTTGACAAGGTTAAGGCAAAAACACAACAACAACAGGGGTTACATAAAATAGGCGTTTATTGCAGCGACTGAAAATTGCCTATCATGGGGAATGCTGTATATCAACGTGATTGGCCACTTATTCGAGGATTGTGTGTAATTTATTCCATTAGCCATGCGTTCGCCGCGGTCGAGGAGCCTCGGCGGTTGGCAAAGTGTACATGGCGACGACAAAAACCGTGTGCAGAGTCTGAATTTAAAACCCCTGTGCCGCGTGGCAGACACGTGATCGATGCAATGCACCTGGGCAGTTAAGAAAACAAAAGTAAAAGGCTTTCCCTTCATACGGAGAGATCGCATGGTCGTTTTTTTTTTGCAAGCGTAAGCCTTTTTTGGTGTCATCGTATCTCGATGTCAAGTGCCCTCACTCAAAAAAGCAATCAGGGGCATTCCGGGACAGACTAAAGGCCAAAAAGAAATCTCCGCGGAGACATTGAATGTCTGGAAATAATGACTCTGTGGCGACAAAAAAAAAATACTCAACGAAGAACCCGCCAAACATCCGTGGCAGAACGTGCCGTGTAGCTCGGCGGGGATTATTGCGGATAAATAAAAAGGGCCTCGTTAGAAATCAATTGAAATTTAGACCGGAAGTCGGCGCCATTCGTTGCGGCTAGAAAACGAGAGTGCCACGCACGATGCTGCCGAGTAAGTCTCGTGGCAGAGCTGATGAGATTCCCAACAAAGGGGAGACCCATTGACGGTTAACCACCAAGGCCAGCTCGGAATTAGACTCGGGCACAGATCAATTGATGGATGTTTGGGAAAATTGGATGGAAATTTGCCTCGTGCGAGACCTATCTCTGGGCCGGCGACCTCCCGCAGATCGTTGCGGGGATTTTAAGCGGCAGGGCAGACACCGGGCGGTGTTAAATCTCCAAGAAATAAATGACCAACATGAATTTTGTGTGGGCCCCCATGCCCCCGCCCCCCCGCCCCTGACCCCAAGGGACAGAACTGACTGAACTCACGTGTGGGAATTGAAGTGTATTACTGAGATATCACCTGAAAGGAAATGTTAAACATAGACGACGCCGCATTGTGTACGTTACCTGGTTTAAAGCCGTACTTCTAACGTCTCTGGTTGTTACATTGGCATGCTTGACACGGCGGTGCTGATGATATTATAATCAAAAACCCTTATTTAAGAGCGGGCGAGAGCTCGCGCGAATGTTATATTGGACGTCGACGCTATATTGGAAATGTTAGTATTGATTAAAACTCTGTGCGGCTGGCTCTGTCTAGAATTTACATCACGGCGAGGTACTGAGCGCGTGAGCACATTCCAAAAATCAGGGCGGTACGTCAAATGTTTTTTTTCCTTTCGTCGCCAAGCTGGGACATTAACGCCTACTGCCACCTAATTAGGTCCTGTATCACACACAAGCACGCACACACAAGAACAGACAAAGATTCCCTGGATAGCCTGTGACAGACTGTTGGGGCAAGTGCTGTTAGCGAGCACCTATAAAGGCCGGCACAGCACACGATGATGTAAATATCATCACTGTGGCTCCATTGATGATGATGTTTACACAATGCACTACCGTAAGTACTTTGTTCATGGCTGAGTTGACATAGGGGAGGCCCAGAGCAGGTTCAGATATTCGTCACTGATTTTTTCCAGGAATTCTGTGGCCAGACATCGAACTCAGGTTTGCGGATTTGTAGCGCAGTACACTAACCACTGCACCGCAGCTCTACAAACATGCACTCACGCGCACATAGACATGTAAACAACCGCTCAGATATAGAGCATCACGTGAACACGTGAACGCGTGCGAGCAAACATCTATTGGCAGATGTACACAAGCGCGAGCATCTATTCTATCGTGATGCACGTGGGATGGATTGGTCACACAAGCATTCTAGATGGTGCAGAAAATAAACATGTGTTTCACCTGCAATCTGTCATGGGAAACTGTAGATGTTTTTATATATTTTATCCCTTACTTTAGTCAGTGAAGAGTAATTTGTATCTTCTCGTGCATAAATTATTAAGAGCAAAAAACACTGGTTTTTTTTCTTTGTTTAATGCGATTGTGAGAGTCAAAGGACACCCCGCCTTCCTTGAATGTTTTTTTGATTCATAATAGCAGTCATATATATATATATCTAATAGGAGCCCGCTACAGTAGACGCAATGCATGAAAGGGGTTTAAAAGTTTAAACGAACGTCCAGGCAGGCCAGGTAGGTAATCCAGACGGTGTACGCAGATCCCTTTCGAAACATTCAAGGTTTTTTTCAACCGGGTACCCTGAGTGTCTTCCTCAAGCTTTTAAGCCTGCGAGAACGGTCCATGAAAACGTAATAAACGAGTGAGATGCATCCACATGAACGAACACTAGTGAACTAAGCATTCACAGAAATGTTTAACGCTAATTAAAGGTAATTCTTTACAGAAACAACAAGCAGATTAACATCCATCTGTTTCCTTGCTTACGTGTTCCCAACAAGGTCCAATGCTCGTCGTGTGCTCACGGTGTTTAAGAATAAAAATGCTCGTAAGGTTGTATGTTATTAATTTAACTTCTTAAATCCTATTCTTGGTTCTTTCGGTAAAGTCACGTAGAAGGGAAATGATAAAATAATAAAAATAAAACAATAAAATTCTCACGACGTTTCTTAAATCCTGCAACGTTATTGTGGCTGCGGGAGGGACTTGCACGAGGCTTAGCCTCGCCACTTGTTTGGTTTCGCGCGGGAGCTGTCTGCCATCGCTCTCCTACTTGCACGCCTCCGCGACACAGGCCGGTGGAAAACATTGGCCGAAGAGTGAGGAAGCTCCATCACGCTCGCACGCGCGAGGCGTCGCCGACGCGAACGGGACACGTCTACATTATTCTAATCCGCCCACTGACCCAGGTCGCTGGCAGCATTTGCAAGACCTCTAATCTTGCCCTATTTGCAGGCTCGAATTCCTTTTTATTTACTGCCGCTTGGTGCGCTTGTCACTGGAACCCCATCACCATTGCGACCGGTGCAGTTCCGCCCGCTTAGCTTAACCGTTGAGGCTTTTCCACCTAATCTTGAGCAGGTCCACCGTGCAAATCGGTTGCCCGGTAGAGAGCGCGCGGGTGGTGAGAGGGGTGGAGCGGTGAAGCGGGGGAGCGGGGGAGGTGAATGAAAAGTCTCCGGGTTTGCCGTCGTTGTATGTTGCGTAGCGCATCGCCCACCACCCGTGGGGCTTCCTCGACTCGAGCTTGCGAGAATTCCATCGCGTGTGGTGGCAAATGCCCGCACGCACACACGCACGAGTGCTCGCGGGCATTCGCCGGTTCGTGCGGGCGTGGACGTTGTTGCACGGTACGGCGGCGCATGTCCCTCCAGCACAAATCCGCCCCAATTAATTAGCTGCCTACACCCAATGCAGTGTTGGTGTGTGGTTAACCTGCAATTCCCTGTCGTACTATATTATATTTAAGTTTTTCTGGCTGGAGGGGGCGGGAGGGACGGCCGGAAGAATGGACGGTCATATCCTAAGGACGTGTATGTTGTTGGTCGTTGTTTAAAAAAAACAAATCACAAGCGGTAATGCATTGTGAAGCTCATGTATTTTTTTTTACTTTAAAGTGCAATAGAGCGTATCCCCATCCCTAAGCAGTTTGCATTTATTTTATTTTACCCAGTGACCTATTTGTGTGCACTACAATCATCATGCTATGTCGATGTTCAGATATCTGATCTTGTCACATGTCCGCCTGTACCTCAGTCCAGGAGCAAGTCGAATATACCACGTCGTACCGAACAATTATGTGTAGCAGCGCAAACATACGCACGTGAACACACACACACAGGCACAAACATCAATGCAGGGCCGTGCTTGCGTGTACATTTTTGCATGTGCACACTTGCATGCATTCTTCGTGCAAACACCAGTATACAAAGCACACACACAGGCACACGTGTTCATACTGCAAGAGACAAAGATCCTCTGTACAGCCTTTTGGAGACTTTTAGGGCAAGTTAGTTGTTAGCGAGCACCTATGAAGACCAACACGGCACACTAGGGGGTGTGTGGCCTGCCTTAGTCTCCCCAGTGCTGATTTGTTTACACACCGCAGCCAGGTGCTCATTTGAGGCTGAGACGACCTTGGGGAGGTTCAGATTTTCGTCACCAATATTAGGCCGTAAGCAGGAATCGAATGCAGGTTGTCACATTTGTAGTGTTGTGCGCTCACCACTACGCCACCATCCCAAACATCCGCACACCTACACACACACGTGGAAATGTTGTCTACCGTGAGGGTAACCAAGATGCCTTCTTGCAATTGAAAAAATAAAGATTTGTTTCGTGACTTGGATGTGCATGAGTTGGGGGTGTGAGCAAATTGAAGCCCCGTGCGTGTGTTATGTGTCCTTTGCAGGACTGGGCGCGACGGTGAATTTGTGTTGATATTCGTTGCTTGTGTTGTTGCAGGGCATCTTGGACGTGCTGGTGATGGGAGGGGACCTATCTCTCTACGCACTGCACAATTCCTTCGAATCTGATGCATATTTCGTGAAAGTCATCGGTGAGTCAAATTTCGTTGTTGTTGCTTTTCGACGTCCTTCATTGCCTCTCTCTGTCCCTCTGACTCTCTGTCGCCCTGTCTGTCTGCCAGTCTGAATATGTTCCTCTCCCGTCTCTCTTTCTGTGTGTTCCTCATCGCCCGTGTGTCTCTTTATTCCTACGTTTTCAAAGTGGACGCTTGCTTGAGGCTCTCTTTCTTGCTGACATGCGCGCGCACATGCACACGCACATGCACACGCACATGCGCGCGCACATGCACACACACATGCACATGCACACGCACATGCGTGCGCACATGCACCACACAGCCAGAGGATGGTCAAATGAGTGGGCTGAATGGAAGGCAGTGACGTTAATGGCAGAGCAGGATGGCTCATTAACAGTAACAATCGCGATGGGTTGGCATGGTGACCCAAAAAACAAGGAGTGGAGATTTTGCTTGCGTGCTGCGGCTGTGGGCGGCTGTGGGCGGCTATGGCATTTGCCGCGATTGTTCGTAGGCGCCACGGTCGCGAGATGTGACCTACCTCGCCTGGTATACAGGAGGTCATGGGTTCGATCCCGACCCTGACGCCTGTTGTATATTGGAAGCTTGCGTTATCTTGCTCTCTCGCAATGGTCGCGTGGATTTTTCTCCTGGTCCTCTGGTTTTTCCCTCCACATTTAGAATCACGGTCACGTGTTTAGACAATTTGGCTGCTATACATTTGCACACGATGGTAAGCCACTTCGTTGAGCTGTCATTTGTGGCCAGGTTTTTCTCTGAATAAGAGCGACATAGCTCAGTGCGCCGTACCAGGTAAAAAAAATGTTTTAAATCGTTTAAATGTAAGGGGACCATGGTAATGGGATTCAAAGAAACTCAACTCAGTTGACCTGGCCACACATCATCGTAGATCATTCAAGTGGCTTCTCATACGTGGGAATTTATAGTAGCAGCCAAACACTGTAATCTAAACGCATGTTTCCAAACGTGTAGGGGAAAAACGGGAGGAACTCGAGGAAATATCCATGCAACCACCATGGGGAGAGAGATCAGTCAAACTCCAAATATACAGGCATCATCAGGGTCGGGATCGAACCCACGACCTCCTCCTATGTCCCGGCGAGCGGGGTGCCAATGGCGGAAGAGTTTTGCGACTCCTGTGTTGCCGCCTCTGGAACCCCCCCACCCCTCTCACCAACTTCCACCCCTCCCTGCCCCGCAACCCCTCCGCCTCGCACCTCCCCTTTCATCCCCCACGTGGGTTGAAGTCTCTCGTTAGTACAACCCCAGAATAAATGATCCTGTGGGACTTGTTAAAAGCCACTCGGCGATTGCTCGACTTCTTTGTACGGCGCAGCAACAAACACTGGGCAGCATCTGCGAACTTATAATGATCAAAATCTTCTGAAAAATGTGACGGGTTTTTTCTCTCCCCCCCCCCCCCCCCCCCCCGTTGCTTTGTAACAATTAAATCGTCATCTTTACATACGTCCGCTTCGCGTTTGGTTACAGCGAGTCGGATAGAACAAACACACTTAAATGAGAACATTATTTCATTATTTATGTGCATATATTTACCATATATGTGCCATATATAGTATTACACGTATGCAAAAAGACATAAATTGATACGTGTAATATGTATTGGGAGTAATTAGGATTTTTACAGGTTCATTACAAACGTGATATACGTTACCGTAGAGTTCGCTGTGTATTTTGGGTTCCAAGTCGATTGCTCAGCAGTGAAGCCGATTCATAATAGGTTTAAATGTGTACTTAACCCACAGTCACGCAACTCAGCCAACCAGTAATGTTCGTCACGTAAACATAACGTCACAGTTAGTTACTGCTTCAGCCCATCGGTGTGTTGGAGAGTAAATCCACAACATTTACAATTTGAGTGCCGTGATGTTTCACGAGTAATTAAATCCAGCATCATCGGGCGATTTCGCCAGAATTGTGAAGAGATCTTGCTGCTTCTGGTCTTAAATAGGACGCAAGATGACGCCATCACTGAGCCAAACAACTCGCAGCGAGGCCGAACTCGCCGTGGTTTTTTGTTCTTGCGGAAAACGCCCAAAAGAAGCGAAGAGGCCTGTCCTCACTCCGTCTCCAGTCAAATGAGTCCCACGCTCCTTTCCACTTTGATTCCGGTCCTGATGCTCCAACGTCATCGTTGCCTTTTGGGGGAACTGCCCGGGTTTTGATAAAAAAAAAAAAACTATTGGCTCCTACAGAGCTGCTCATGTGATTTGAAAAAAATTAACCCGTAAAAACAAAGTTTTTCACTATAAATCCTTTATATGCGTGGCATCGGTTTTATTTTATTATTCATTTCTTTTTTTCTTGAGTAAGAGTTTCATTTTTATCACATTGGTATTTTAAATTAAATATGAAAAAAAAAATCCTAAAAAGTGGAAAATTTACGAAATTTTTTTCACGAAAATAAATTGTCACGCACAACGAGTCTGTGTGCAAATGTCAGCTCGATTGGATCACGGGAAGTGGGTTAAAAAACGACAGAAAGATTTGCACGGTCGTAAGCGCGCAAGCAAGCAAGCAAGTGAACTTAATATAAAGGATTTAAAAAGGCTCGTTTGCTTAGAGCTATTGCACATTCACCTCCAAACTCAAAACTCTCATCGCCCGTAGAGTACCGACCAATGTGAGTATTTATGTTGAAATTATTTTGCACCGTACGTAGCCAACCTTGCTAATCAGAAGTGTGGGGGAAGGACAATAAACTAAACACAAAACGCAGTTCTAAAGAAATACGTTTTTAATCGAATTTAAAATTTCAAAGCTCCATTGGCTTCCTAATATCAGAAGGAAGAGCGTTCCAGACGGCCGCTGAAGCGCATCTGACCGTCTTTGTTCGATGGCTAGCCAAAAGCCGCTGCGAGGATAACCGGAGTGTGTGTGTGTCAGTGTCACGGGTCTATATTTGAGCTCGAATCGCTCCCACAGTCTCTCTTGCAGTCCAGCTGAGAGGGCACCGAGGCTTCTTGCACAGAAGTGAATGCCGCTGTTCGTTGCAACTCGTTCGGTTTAAAAGCCAAGCTTGGCGCTGTTCAAGGAGGAGTTTTGTGGCTCATTCTAATTTTGCAGACACATCGTCGTGCCCGGGGTCACTACACAACGCCGTTTCCAGCCGAGAGGGACACACCAGGTGCCTCGCCAGTGTCACCATGCGGCTTTTGATTTTATGAAGGTCTTAGTAATTACATAATTATAATTTACAGCCCTTTGCCAATCCACTGCTGGATGATAAGCTAAAATGTGCTAACTGTCCCCCCCCCAAAAAAAATAATAATTGTACGATTGTATAAGCCAAATTTTTTATATTCTACTCCAATTTTGTATTATTAGCTAAAAAAACATATAATGTAACTGGTATTGGCGAAACATCCTAATGTTAAAAAAAAATCTGCTGCAATTACTCAATTGGGATTACGCTTAGCAACATCGCCCCCTGCTGAAAAAACTTGTCAGGTCCCTCTTTAAAAAAATTGGTGACACTCAGCGAGTCTTTCGCTGCAAAAGCAGCATTATAACAATATAATTTGTTTGTATCTACATTGTAAAGCTTTCTGCATTACACTGAGGATTATGGAAAGGAAGACGGATTTGTTGCCAGAAGACCTTGCATCCGGATCATGGCCACATCATTCCTAGAAACAGAAAAAAATGGGGTCTCCTTTGCCCGTGGCAGGGAATCCGAATCGGGTCGCAAAGATCAGAGGACACACGGTGCGCGCTGACCACTGCGCAGCACTGCCGCTTCGCCTTTATGACGGAGAAAGAAAACAATATAACGGTGCCGACGAGACCAGTAAAGGTTCCGGCTGTAGGCTGCTGCTCGTGGACTCATGCCTGCGCATGGATGCTCCGAGCACACGCAGTCCGCTTGGCTTCCGCGCCGAGGGCTGCTTGATTGAGCCCTCCTCTTCACCGCTTGCTCACTGACGGTAATGATCCCTTGGCACTCGCTCGCTGGAGTAGGCAATTGTGTGTCTGTCACGGCCAAATTAAGCCCTGGTTACAAAGACTGGCCTACCTCGGCAGCAGCCGGGAGATGCGCGGTGCAACCCAGCCTTGCGCCGCGGGCACGGGGTGCAGGCCCCTGTAATGATTTTCCGATTAAACATTCATTCGCACAGCTATCAGAATCATGCCAGTCACTGCCAGGCAGCAGTTTAGCCGAGGTTGGAGCACACACTAATTTGTGGGCTTTGTGACCTGGCTTTGAGAACCCGGCTTTGTACACAGGCGATCATTTAAATGGAGGAACTGTTTGGGAAAATGATTCTGCTTTGGGGCAAAGTAAATCAGTGGTTACATGTAGGGTTTAGAATTGTGTGCTCTTCCGCAATAATTGTCGACTCTACTCTAGCTTGTACATCTTTCACATCCAGTTTTGCGTATAGACCTTTGTTGATAGTGTGCCCTCAAAATTCCAAGGCAGGCGTAGGATTTTAACCATCAAACTCGTACAAATAGCAGGAACTTACAAGTTTGGTGGTATTTTGCACTTTAAAAAATATATCTCAGAGTAATCTTGCTGATGTATCCAAGTTTCTTCTTTTGCCGAGTGGGCGCTGTGCAAGCAGTGCTGCTGATGAATACTAATGTTTGCAATTAACGTGCAAGGGGCATGTACCTTGCAAAAACGTGAGGATGCGGTGTGTTTGAGTTAAATTCCAATTTCACGCCAACCTGTCCACATTTAAAATGTTGCGCCCCAATAATAATAATAATAACAGATTAGTTTATTAGACTGCCGCGCAATATACCTTCCAGTATTTAAATGCAGGCAATTACACACATTGTATCACTAATTAGTCAATTATGTGTCAAAACATTCTCTTGTAAATGTCACTTTTTTTTTTGCGGTTAAACATTGGGCCTGGCAGATGGCTGATTTGGGTGAGCTAAGTTCCACTAATGGCTGCATTTGTCAAATGTTCACCGTGCACATGTAAACAGTGATAATTATATATATAATGAATTAAACA